GATGACCTCATCTCAAGATCCTTAATTGTAGCTGCAAAGACCCTTTTTCCAAGTAAGGTAACATTCACAGGATCTAGGCATTAGAATACAGGCATATCTCTTTCACGGACCACCATTCAACCCACTACAGAGGTGATAAGGGGTGCATTTGGGACAAGCAGGACTGGCGGGCAGAGCTGGGGGTCATACCAGCAGAGCAAGGCAGGAACTCAGAGTCACCCTCCCTTCTGGCCTCTCCCTGTCCCCGAATCCCAGACTTCTCCCCTGCAAACCTCTGCCTTGTCTGCTCACCCCCAAGCATGCCCTGTCCTGAAGGTGTGGGCCTCCTCAGGGACCTCACAGATCCCTAGGGGTTCCTTCAAGACCCACATGATCCAGGCCTCAGTGACCCCTCAACTTCTGACCCCCAATAGAACTGCGCTGGCTCCTGGCCCCTCTGCTCCTCTTCCACCCACAGGTAGCCACCCTGTGGTGACATAAGTGTCCCACATCGTGCACTTGAATTTGTCCCAGGCAGGGTCAGATGTGCCCCCTACTCCCCCCGGAGCCCCAGCACTTAGCCACCCAGGCAATGGCTTTGAAGGAAGAAATGAAGCGACCGTGATGGTGGGAAGGGTGCAGGGGGGCCCTGCTGGGTTTATGGCAGCTGGGAGGCTCCAGCCCAGGCTTAGGAGGAATCAGGGAATTCACTGGGGACAGGGAGGACAAGGAGCAGGGTGGTGAGTCGGGCGCAGGAGGGCTGCAGGAGAGCAGCTACGGGGTCAGGATGGCTGAGACTGAGGGGGCACGGCCCCTGGGCCAAGGACCAGAGTGGCAGCGGGCGGCAGAAGGGCCCTTTGGAGCTGTCTGGAGCCAGGGAAGTGGGGTCCTCCAGGGAGGGCCAGTCTCTGAGGTAGGTGGAGGGAGGTGGTGGACACGGGGGAGCTCTTGCTTACCCTGAAGGGGGCACAAAAGGCTATGAGGACCCCGTGTCAAGAGCAAAAGGGGAGCAGGCACTTCCCTGCCCGACTAGGGGTCCGCATAACCCACGATTCTGCCTCAGGGATCCCCTCGGCCCGGACGCGGGGAAAGGAGTGAGAAGAGAAAGGGCCGGAGCCCAAGCTCCCTTCTTGGGGCTCCCCGCCAGGAGTCAATAACCACTCTGAAACGGTCCCTTCCCCTGACTTCCATCCTTTCAGTGCCCTGCGCCCCGGGGGCCCCTGCGGACTCGGACTCCGAGCTTCCACCGCTACACGTCCCACAGGGGGGCCCGGGCGCCCAGGGCCGGCTCGCGGAAGGCGGGGGCAAAGTAGGCCGACCCCCTGGGAGGGCGCCGGCGGT